GACTAGGCTTGCAGATGATTATCAAATATTCAGAGTGCTTCGCAACACGACACAGACAAGGATCCGACAAGCGAAAGCGAACTACTTTCACGAAGCCCTTTCCTCAGCTCCTGATATCAAATCAAAATGGCTTCTACTTCGTAAGCTTTCCCTCTGTGAACCTTCTAGATCCCCTTCCTCAGTTTTCCCAATATCACCTGATGACCTAAACTCCCACTTTATATCGGTTTCCACCTCTTCGTTACCATCCCCTTCCGGCTTTTCTCCAGAGGTACCTTTTAACGACAATAATTTTTATTTTTCCGACATTTCTCCCACAGACCTTATTACCGTTATAATGAAATCCCGTTCCAATTCCGTAGGCCCAGATGGCATTCCTATCAAACTAACAAAATTATGTCTCCCTGAAATCCTCCCAGCACTCCTTTTCATCTACAATTTCTCCCTGCAGAATTCAATATTCCCGACCTCTTGGAAAAAAGCCATTGTCCTTCCTTTAAACAAAAAGCCTAATCCATCCTCTCCCGAAGATTTCCGCCCAATATCAATCCTTTCCAATCTTTCTAAACCCCTAGAAAAGTTGGTGCAATCCCAAGTTTCCAACTTCCTTGAACAATCCAACCAACTCGATCCTCTCCAATCTGGCTTCCGTCCTGGCTACTCTACACAATCTGCTCTGATTAAAATTACTAGTGATATCCAGACTGCAATAGATGACAAAAAACTAACCATACTTATACTTCTTGATTTCTCTAAAGCTTTCGATTCCATTATCCATTCCATCCTTTTCAACAAACTAAAATCATTATCCTTCTCCAAGAGTTCCATCTCTTGGTTCCAGTCTTTCCTCTCACAACGAACCCAAGCAGTTTCCATACCTAATCAACCTCTATCTGCCTACCTTCCTTTATCCTCAGGAGTTGCACAGGGTTCAAGCATGTCTCCTCTTCTTTTCAGTTCTTATATTAATGACCTAAATGATACAATTATCCATTGTTCCCACCACCTTTATGCCGACGATTCTCAAATCTATTTATCCTTTTCTCCCGCTGAGTTATTGGTGGCATTTGCCAAAATTCAAGAAGATTTAGATCGAATTAATGCCTGGGCCAACTTAAATGGATTAAGGCTAAATGCTGCCAAAACTCAGGCCATTCTCATTGGTTCCAAGCCCCTTCTTAGATCCCACACCAACTTTCCCTCACTCTATCTAAACAACCACCCCATCACCTTCTATCCCTTTGTTAAAAATTTAGGCTTTCTCATAGATCAAACCCTTTCCTGGAATCACCATATCTCTCATATATCCCGCCGTGCAATTTCTACCCTCAAACTATTCCATCACTTCCGCCATCTTCTACCCCAAAATACCCGTAGACTCCTAGTTTCCTCTCTCATCTTTCCCCACTTTGACTACAGCTGTGTGGTGTACGATGGCCTCTCGGTGGAACTGCGTGATAGACTCAAAAGACTTATGAATTGCTTCGTAAGATTTGTAATCGGAACCCCGAGACGCTCCCGTGTCTCCCACCACTACACTGAGTTAGGGTGGCTCTTCCCCTCCTTAAGAAGACAATATTTCCTTGGCACTTTCCTTTATCAAATCATTACCGATCATCGTCCTTCTTATGCCTACAACCTTCTCCAATTTAAGTCCTCAATCCATTCACTCACTACAAGATCCCGACCCTCCGCCCTATACATCCCTTCTCATAGATCTGCCTCATTCCAAAATTCCTTTATAGCCCGCTCTGTCAACTTTTGGAATTCCCTCCCGATCAAAATTCGACATGCCCCTTCCCTGTACACATTCAAAAACCTCCTATTCCAATTCCTGTTCCAAAAACAATCAGATACCAGCTAACGATTAATATTATACATGTATTGTGTAGCAATCATGTAATCATAACACTTGGTAAGAGATAGTACATGCATTTCCTACTATCGACGTAGGAATTTCAATACATAAATTTTTTTGTATTTTTTTTTTTTATTCAATTATAAATAACTGTTTATTTTCATATATATATTCAAGTAAAGTTTTTTTTTTTATGAAATGAACTCATTGTATCTCTTTTTCGTTCTTCATTTCTCAAAGTGTATGTTTATGTTGTTCAACCCTTAAATATAATTTTGTTCATAGTTCAAATGATTCGTTCATAGTTTTAATTGTTTTATTCATAATTTTAAATGCTCTGTACATAGTTTTATCTGTATTGTATATAGCTTGTGCACCTAAGATTTCTTTACTTTTTATTTTATTTTATCAATTTTATTTATTGTTTCAACGTTCAGGCCAGTAATATTCTATTATTTTGTACATTATTGTTATTCTGAAGGGACTTAGTCCCAGAATAAAGTTTCTTTTTCTATTCTATCTATCTAATACCATAAGGATAATAATGTTCGTTATGTTGTGATATACCGTAGTTGTATGGAGTTCTTCTCTTTAAATAAATAAAATAAATAAAAAATAAATAATACACTTTCGTTGTTTTTTTTGTTTTTTAATGATAAAGTAACATACATCCTGATTGCACTAACTACTTATCCCCGAGAATTTGAGCCTTAGCTGTCGTCAGATGTTAAAAGCAATGTTTAGAAGCTTTTGTTAATTTATGATAATCTAATGAAGGAAAAAGCTAATATTTAAATTACAAATTTCAGGAAACGTAATGGTTATACAATGGCAGATTTTAAATCATATTTATAACTGATGGCTTACTAAATATAAGAATTAAACCTCCTTAAAATATTATGTTTGTGCGGAGTGTTCGCATGGGTCAGTTAGTTCTCAATTATTCCTTTTAAAATTATTATACTTAAAATCACAGAAACACAAGCCACAAGTGTTGATGAAGTGTTAATCCTTGCATTTACCTTTCTAGATCCCTTTGCTATATATCCTTCAGAAATTATTGTAATTTGTTCTCAGCCCGTCTTCGCCCCACTCTTCTTTCTGATATTGTTATTTAGACTTTTAAGTGTTTTATTTATTTATTTAAAAAAAGTCTTAGCTTCTGTATTGAAGATATTGGGTGATATGTAGAACAGTCGACTAACTTCCTTCAAGTATTGAAGATAACTTTTTTTTCAGTGGCAATTTTTTGTTTCTATGAGTGCTCTAAACCAAATACATACAATCACAATTGATTATCTTTTTTAATTTTAACCCATGCACTTCAACTACTAAATGCAAGCACGTGTTTAAAAAAAAATCCCTAAATGCATCATTGTTAAAAAGAAAATTAAAACCCGCTATTGCTTCAAGGTTACCATAAAAAACAAATAAGTGCTAAAGTAAACTCTATTTATAGTTTCATATGTTTGAACTCTGATCTCTTTCATTGAATATTTTTTATGTGTTTTTAAATTTTAAATTAAATTCAGTTTCAATAACTAAACTTTATATATATATATATATATATATATATATATATATATATATATATATATATATATATATATATATATATTGTTTGTAAAAACAAAATCAATTCTATTACATGAATTATAATGGTGTAGTTTTATGTAGGATTCCAAGAAATACGGCGTGACCTAGTTCGTGCTAATTGTAATATATAATACTACATCAAGTTAATTAGTTAATTAGTATTATCAATAATTGAGATAATATATAATTTATTATAAATGATGGAGATTTAGTTGATCGTATATGGAATTAAGGATATGGTTGGGGATGGATCAGAAATGAAGTTATCTACATTACACTACAATTCACTGTGTTGTATTATATTGTATTAATGTCTATCGACCTTTCAGCTTATATAGGCTTTGGCCAAAGCCATGAAAAATAAATATTTTAAATTACTGTGTACTTAATCGCACCCTCATTCATCATTTCCATAATTTATTATGAATGATACTGAAAAATTATAAGTTAATGACTGCAGAATCGGCTTCCTGACTGAATTATTGTTCATTTTAATTTCATTAATGAAACTAAGTCATTGGTCAGTAAGTACTGTTAATTGGACAACGGTTATTGAAGGTGGTTTGATCGAAATCACGCTCTACCCCCACATTACCCCCCCTTCATCAGTGATATAATTAAGAATAATTAATTTATAGAGGCTGGCTATAATACGGGTGAAATTATCGCCAGGTGCATTAAATATTCTCTTGACAGAATATCAGTGGAAGAGCGTGGTATGACATCTTGTCTTTTCTCACCGGATAAATCAGGCGGCTTTAGGACATTTCTGATAATAATAAATCAACGATACTAATTTATTATTATCTATATTATTCTTGAACTATTTCCTCCTGTACGTAATAGAAGAAAAAAAGATAGGTAGTGTAATAGACGTGGTATATTCAAAAGTCGACTTGAATATAGTTTAAGACTAAATTCATTTCCAATTCTGAAATTAACTCGGGTCAGGAAGAACTGTTAAAATAAAGGTATCCAATATGGAAAAATATATTTCAGTCTTCGGCATTTAAGGCAGTTTTTATGTTCGATATATGTTACGTGCCACTGTAGCTGATTTACTGTCGGGCTTCGCTATGAAAATTACAAACTTCTGTCCTATATTTCCCTGGAAATCTTAGCAAATATGAGGAAATATTTTCTCCCCAAATATTAATAGTAGGTTTGTAGTCTATTAAAAAAATAGACAATTTTAATCAAATCTTGATTGTTTATTTTTATTTTATTTTTTATGTCGATTAAATCGAATGACCCATATGTCGGTCCTCTATTAAAAACTACATTTATTTGTAAAAAACTAATTTTAACTCACCTAAGGTCGACCTATAGATCGTGTACTCATTCTACAATTGGAGTTGTTGTTTTTTCAATCAATGTCCTGAAATCGGTTGTTTCCCGATAAAGGTTTGCAATACCCCTTTTCAGCTAATGCTGACGTAGTATTTTTTAGTGAATGTGTGTATACTAGTGTATGAATGGTTTGATTTATTGATTAAAGGTGGAACGGTGAGGTTAGCCGGTGACCTTGGTGATTTGTGTTGTTGCCATGGCCGCACAACGCCCTACGTGCCTTCCAAGTGCACCATCATTTGATCCTTATCTCCAGAAAATCACTTCTCCAGGGTCCCGATACAATGTCCTTCGTAATATTTCAACAAAGTCCTAAAACTTCAACATATTCTCAGCATCTGCAATAAGTCGAGATATAACTTATGGTTTATCTATGCTTTTGAGTTCCGCTCAACCCTCCTCAATAAAAAAATAGTTAACGTCATTGAAAGGATTAATCAGGTGGTCGGAGCAAGATGCCGACCACACTGATTCCAAGAACACGTTAAGGTCGCGAATCAGGTACCTGTCTCAAGCAATACCTGATCATTGTCTATACAGAGGTTCTGCAATGGGATCGATTTTATTTTATTTTTTATATTAATTAAAAATCAAGGTAGTGGTTACATAATTGATTATAAGAAAACTTATTAAACTTGATATTTTATATAGTATAACTTCTACTATTATACGAATAATGTTAAATTATCACTTTTTAAGAATTTAAGTTAGAAGTTTTTGAGAAGACAGATTCTTAAAAATTAAGGTCAAGGAATAAAAGTGATTTAAAATGTGTAAGACCTATGATATTCATTATGATAAAAATATATGTGTTGTTGTGTGAGGCCGTTTTTGATTAGAGGTTTTGTTGCAATTAGAATTTTGAAGTATTGCAGTAGGGAGGACTTAGGCAGTGCCGGCCTTAGACATTCGGCGCCTCGAGCAATGATGTCATCTTTCCCTCCCCCCTAAAAAAATATTTAATAGCTGTTTTATACTATGTAATATTTCAATTTTATTTCATTTAATATTTCTCTAATGATGTTACTTTATTGATAGGCTAAAGTTGATTATTTTAATACGTCTGTATTTTTTAAATATTATTGACAAGTGGCAAGCGCACCTTAAGATCGGTCGGCGCCCCCAATGGGCGCCCCGGGGCAATTGCCCCGCCCCAGGGCCGGCACTAGACCTAAGATACTAAATGAATTAGACCAAGGTTTTTAAATGATCTATATAATATATTATCAGATTGTATTTAATAGTGAATAATTAAATATTCAGATGGACATGCTCATACACACATCATATTTGTATGTTTAGATTTATGTTGTCATTTATGAAATATAAAATGAAACCTAAGCTACAAGTTCATTTCAGTATATAGTTGTTTAATATACACTGACAGGCAAAAAATTCCACCCACTTGTAAAAAAAGTTGTATTTGTATATAATACATGGTATTTGTAGATAATACTTAGTATTTATGGAATTTTATAATCTTTTTTTACCTTTAATAATCAAAATATGATTGGGTAAGAAAGATTATAGAAAAAAAAAATTGAAAAACGAACCATTATTATTCTAAAAGAAAATCATCGTTTAGTAGCGCGTGTTTCCTCCTCTTGCCTTCACTACTTCTTGAAGACGCCTCGGCATACTTTCCACCAGTCGGGAAATTTCCCTTTGCTGGAGGATAGCCCATTCCTCCCGAAGAGCCCTTTCAAGGTCCTACAGTGTATCAGGAAGTGTTGCACGCGCTCTTATTCGTCTTCCGAGGTTATCCCATAAATGCTCAATGGGGTTCAAATCTGGAGAACGTGCTGGCCAGGCTAAAACCTCAATATTGTTCTGTTGAAGGAACGTCTGCACTATGCGGGTGCGGGGGACATGTGGTCGTGCATTATAATAGAACGATCGCCGATTTCGTTGAGGATAGGCAACACATGAGGTTCCAAAATCTCATCTACATAGCGAATGGCCGTCAAAGACCCTCCACGAACAACAACCAATTCTGTGTGACGCTCCATTGAAATCCCAGCCCACACCATTAAGGAACCACGTTGGAAAGGTTGGCTCTGGGAAAAATTACAGGCTGCATATCTTTCGTTTCTTCTTCTCCACACCCTTTCACGCCCGTCTGGAGATCGAAGAGTGAATCTTGACTCATCTGTAAAAAGTACAGCACTCCATTCGTTCATAGTCCAATGGCTGTGTTCTCTAGCAAAAGCCAGCCGTGTTACTCTGTGAGTTCTGGGCAACTCTGGTCCTCTTACTGGACGAAAAGCCATTAATCCATACTCATTTAATCTTCTCCGAGCGGTACGTTCAGAAATTTGCACACCTCGAACTTCTTCGAGCTGATGAATCGCTTGAACAACGGTAAAGTGGCGGTTTCGTAAAATTCTCAAAGTCAAAAACCGGTCATCCCGTGGTTCTGTTACCCTAGGCCGTCCAGAACCGGGCCTTCTATTGTAAGAACCAATTTCCCGAAAACTCCTGACGGCGTCTCGTAAAGTTTCATAAGGAACTCCGATGGCATTAGCTGCATATCTAATGGAACGTCCATCATCAATAAGTGCCACACCACGCGCAACATCCTCAGCACTAAGAGCCATTTTTAAACTTAATATTGAAAAAATTAAAAGCCGGAGACTAAGAAATGTGCTACAAGAAACGGCACTGAACTAATGATACTGAATAAACATTTTGATTGCATAGAAAGTTAACATTGGAATCTAGAATCATTTCATTAAATTAAGGATTAAGGGTTATTGTCCTCTATATTAACATTCCTAATTGAAAACAAACAAAAAAATTACCTATTTATTCATTAAAAATAATAGACCAATCCAAAGCAGAAATAAGAAAACCTGAAAAAATCAAGTGGGTGGAATTTTTTGCCTGTCAGTGTATTTATAACCGTTACTTTGTATGTATATGTTATTATTTATTTTTTAATACTTACAGGAAATAAGGGTGTGCTTAAGGTGAATTAGTGTACTTAGGAAACATTCAGGATTGCAAAACATCAGTTTATTGCCCCAGAGGCCTATCAGCTGAACAACATGGGACGCAAAAAAATTCAAATTTCGCGCATTACAGATGAACGTAACAGACAGGTAACATATCTACTATATACATTGAAAATTAAATTTCGTTTTTATAATGTTTATTATTAAATACAAAATCCATACATAATTAACTGAGTTTCAAGAGGAAAATTTTTTGTAGGTTACATTCAACAAACGAAAGTTTGGAGTTATGAAGAAAGCTTATGAACTTAGTGTATTATGTGATTGCGAAATTGCACTCATTATATTCAGCAGTAGTAACAAATTATACCAGTATGCTAGTACCGATATGGACAAAGTCCTCTTAAAATACACTGAGTATAATGAACCTCATGAGTCTCTGACTAATAAAAATATAATAGAGGTATCGTTATTGTTTTTCTTTAAATGTTTATTATTTTAAAATATGTCTGTATAAGATAGCAGCCACCACTGTTGTTTCATAACAATTTTATCCATAATTTTTTTTTTCTCAGGCATTGAATAAAAAAGAGCATAAAAATGGTGCTTGCAGTCCTGATAGTCCAGAAGGAGACTCAGAGTATCAATTAACACCCAGGACTGAAGCAAAATATAACAAAATTGATGAAGAATTTCAGATGATGATGCAGCGTGGTAATCAGTTAAATAATAGGGTATGAAATTCTTCCATATTTAATTCATTATATTATTAATATCAATTTTTTTTATTGTTCATTTCTTTCACTTACAGGTGGGACAAGGAAGCTATTCTCATAATCTTCCTGTTACTGTACCTGTGGGATATTCTGACTCAAATTTATTGCAGTCGAGCCCACATATGGGTCAAAATACAAGTTTAAGCCCTAGACCATCTTCTTCAGATGCTGATTCAGGTATTTCCTACAATATATTTCCATAATTTATTTTTATCATTATTTTCAACTCAATTGGCCTAATTGAATAGTTAAAAAAAATCATATAAATGCTGTACTTCTATTTAATAATTTATTAGTTAATTTTAGTTATGGACTTTTACCAACATAAGTAAATTTAGTTGCTCTACATGATAATTTATGTGACAATTGATTGTTAACAATTACATGTATTTATTTGTTTTGTATGTTTTTGTTGAATTTTTTTATGATAAAAATTAAATGAATATTAAATAAAATAACTTAGTTGTAAAACACCTCATTGTTATAGATTATATATAAACCTAACTGTCTGATGCTTACTTTGGAATAATCTATTTTCACTCAATTGCTAACAGTATGTAGTTTGGTTATCGTAATTAATTTGACATGATATTGCATTTCACAAAAAGAATAAACATCAAATAGAATAAATCATAAAAGATCAGTCGGATTATAAAAAACAAACAATACCTTTTTGAGGAAATAGTCAAATTATTTAAAATATGTAAAAATTATTTAAAGTTATTTTGTAGGATCTATAATATTTTTGAAACATGCTATATATAGAAAAATCTTTATTTTTCAAAATATTTGCTCTTTCTATTCATTTAGTTATTTATTTTTTGTCTGCTTATAGTTTACCCATCAGGCGGAATGCTTGAAATGAGTAATGGATACCCTCATTCGGCTTCACCTTTAGGTGGATCTCCATCACCTGGTCCACCTGGAACTCATTTAGGAAAACCGCCGCCGCCACCTCCTCCTAAGCACAGTTCACCTGCACCATCTCGGACAAATCTTAGGGTTGTTATACCGAATACTCATGATGATGTGGGTTTTAGTTTCTTTCTTTTGTAGATTTTTATCTCTTAGAATTGAAATAATTTTTTTTATATTTAAAGAAAATCAGTTATTACAATGAAACTTTGTTAAAAATTAATTTATTTGAACTTCTGAAATAATAAAAAATGTTTAACTCATCTACTCTTTATAACAAATATTGTAAAAAGTTAAGATTTTTTAGTTGTGGTCTAAAAAGGATTTATATTTAAATAAATTTAAGAAAAAACAATTTCTTTTTAAGCACCTGTGATTCCTAAAAGTTAAATCTAATATATTTTAGGATTCAAGTTTATTTTATATCTTGTACTGGAGGATTTTTTAAAATATATTTTGTTAGATTTTTAGGATTGTGCTTAAATTTTTTTATATTATTATAAAAATAGTTTCAGACTTTATAATTTTGATTTTGTATTATTCAGCTGTTAAAAAAGTAAGCCACTAATTAAAATTCCCAGACTCTTGAAAGCATAAATAATTTAATATGAGAAAATGAAAAACAAATTAATTGTAAAATATTCATTAATAATTAAGCTAAAAAAATTCTTAAATATGAAAAAAAGAGTTAAAAAATATAAAAAAAGTTATATAACAAAACATGAACTTAACTTATTTTCTTTAATTTTTATATTAATTCATGTACATGTTTATATATTTGGATAGGTATTCTTATTGAATACAATGTTTTTTCATGATTATGCAAAATTTTGGGGAAAATATGGAGATTGTTTTTAGTATTTTTCTTGGATGCTTTTGATGTTCTCAATATTTAAACCCAAATATGTGTTAAATTGAATCTTAAGATAAATGAAGACCATTTGTATAACTATTTGGCATGTAGATAGGTTAGATCAGTTTCGGATAAATTACAATGTTGGCTTGCAAAAACTAAAAAGTTCATAATTAGTTTCTTTATTTTACTCATTGAATTTGCTGTTGAAAACGTTGACATGCACATTATTGTCACAGTTTTTGTATGAAAACACTATTCACCTACCCTATCTGGCAAATTCTTATACTGTCATTGATCCTGATTTGATTGATTGATGATTTAATTTAAAACAATATATAGAAATTCAAATCTCCTAAAAGGTTGTTTGTTATAACAATGGCATGATGATGTATTCCTTCATGATGCCATTCCTAATTTTTAGAAGTTTTGTATTTCCTAAAAATATGCTTCTGCTTTCCTTCTGATAATAGATTGGTATTATTCAAAGTAAAGAATCTTATCAGTCAATCATAACCAGCCTTTTGTAAAACAATTCAATCTTGCTTGAATAAAGTTTGATATCTTTGTGCATATATTCATTAAGAAGCTGATAATAAATAAAGTGACTGGCCAATATAGACACATTTATTGCTAATAATGCTTTTTTGATGCCTGAAATACCCAACTTTTACCTCATTTTAACCAAGGTTTTATATTCTTAGTAAAAGCTAATAATAATTCAACCTTTCTTTGAGGTTTAGGTGAAAAAGTATATGCTATAGAAATATATTGTTATTATTTTTTTTGGTCTTTCATTTATTGAATTATTCAGTTCTATGATCAGAAGATAAGATTTTGAATAACAATATTAGTAGTCATTTATGAAGAACAAGTTGAAGTGCTATCAGTTGGTGCTAGATTATTATAGATCCTATGCTTGCTGTAAATTTCCATTTTATGGCTATCATAAGTAAAAAATCTCAATAGATCTACTGGAAATGAAAAAAAGTTGTTAGTTGTAAATATCTATGGGTACCCTATGCCCAATTAATTTGGGTTTCTGCATTCTATTACCATGTAAAACTCAAATAAAAAAAAAAACAGTTATTTTTATTTATTTTTTAATATCATGTTCTATTAGAGGGGATATTTTATCATTAATTAATATTTTATTTCAGTTTAGTTAAAATTTTGCTAAGTGGGATAGCTCCCTGGATATTACACTGGAGTCCTATCTCCTACTAATTCCAGGTTCCAGCTGTGGCAGATAATATGTTATTTTGCCGTATCAGCTGTGGATAGACTAGAGTCAGAAGACCTTCCTGATGCAAACTCAGCCTCTATAAAGTGGGTAATAGATCCTTCATTGAGTTGAAGGAAAAACCTGGTAGATGCCTTGCATAACACTTGGTTCAGAACAGTACTTCCTTATCTAGTACGGAACCTCAGACCCTTTCTTTGCTATACTAAAATAACCTTCACCATTGTAGTGGTACTGTTTTTTTTTTTCTGTAGTTATAATGCTGTATATGGTTGTCCTTGTACCTCCTTATGTCCTATGTCAATCTCAAGAAGAATTGCATCATTGTCAAATATTTATAAAGATTATTTTATTTGTTGCTTTTAGTAGTATTTATTTTAAAAATAATGTAAGTAGTTATTTGACAATGCTTTGTACAGAAACTAAGTTAACATGATAAATATCTAGTTGGTTATTATTTAGGGTGGTGGAGGAAATGGAGGTGGTGTTGGTACTTCTCTAAATACTCCTGTGGTTGCGCTACAAACGCCTGTTCTTGGTTCATTCCCTGGTATATACACTGATATTTCAAATCCAGAAATGGGTTTAGCCTCAGCTCTGTCATGGACTTCTTCTATAACTTCATCGATAGCCCATACAAGGTATGTTAAAAGTTATTAACTCATTATTGATTTTATTTTTTGTTAACTATCATTTTTTACTTAATTTGCCTAATGTTGATTTATTTGACAGTGGGTTGCCTCATCTTGGTGTCAGCAGCTCTCCACCCCCTTCCTCTCCATCTCCTCGTTCTGTTAGAATAAAGAGTGAACCAATATCACCCCCAAGAGATCACCCTTTAAGTCATTTGCCTCATCCTCTAAGTCATCACATTCCTCCAGGTAAGATTATAATTTTTTTGAGAATGCTTTTTCAAAATTATCCATTCACATAATTCATTTGAAAATATTAATAAGGATTTTGTGTTCAGAAGAAATAATATATTGATTTTAATATTAAACATTTATCTAGTATTGAATACTCATACTTGACATTTTAGTGATGATAAAATGCTAAAATTAGAAAAAATACATCAATGTTACATAATTTGATGCATCATGCATCATGTAGATAATTATTCATTTAACTTAAGTTGCCATTTAATTGAAGCAACTATCAGATAGTGTTTCAAATAATTAATTTTATTTTGAAAACATTAAATGTGATTTAAAAAAAAATAATATCTCATTTTATAATTATATCAAGACATTTAGAATATTTTCATTAGTAGCATAATAAAATATGTTCAGGATATTAATGTTATTTGTTGTAAACACTAGTGTGACTAATTTCCATAATTTTTTATTTGATTATTTAGTATATCTCATAAACGTTTATAAAATGCATTTTAGGAGGAATGGGAACATCACCAGGAGACCAAAGGCATGAATATGATGGAGGTCCTATGAGTAAAAGGCCAAGAGACAATTGGAGTACATAGCCACCATTTAACTCTCTGCTATCCTCTGTAGTAAGTTGAATAATAGTATTTAAATATTGTTTAAAATTATTATTTTTTTTTTGTGTGTAAAGAAGGCCACTTGGGGGACTGAAAAGTCATAAAACCAAATCAAGAGTAAGATCTTATATGGAGTATGAAGATTTAAGTGTCTGAAAAAAATATCACAGTACTTCAAGATATTTAGCTAAATATCACTTGTGAATTCAAAACACAATACTATCCATACAGGTCCTCTTATCCTTCTGCTATGAAATCTTATTTAATTTCAAGATCCCTTTCAATACAGCTAGTGTATCTATTGTATTGGCTGATTAATAATTGGTATTTGCTTTATCAGATTATTTTAAATATTCTATATGATATCCCAATTTTTATGAATTGCCATTGATATAGTTTTAGTTGTATTATTTGTGATGGCTTATATATATTTATTTATTGACATATTTTTTCCAGATGGACGCAGAGAGGTATGACTTGCAGTGACGTGCTATAGTGGTTACCTCATTAGATTCTTTGTGCAATCGTGACCACAGTGTAATGTGCCATTTTTTTCACAGTTCAAACACTCGCAAAAGTCAAGTATGAGTGTCTAATAAACACATCTTTAATTGATAGTTATAACGTTGAGCTCACTTTCATATGCATTTTTTAAAGAAATGTATACTTTAAATACATTTAAATTTTTGTGAACCAAATTACATGCCTTAAAATATTGTTAAAAGGTGGTAAATTTTATTGTAATACTACGTTTAAGTTTAAATTTTGTGTGTGTGTATGTGTATGTATATATATATATATATATATATATATATATATATATATATATATATATGTATATATGTATGTATGTATGTATATATGTATATGTATGTTTTGCCACAATTTGGGAAATGTGCTATTATTGTTTGGCATTTGAATATATATGTATATGTATGTGTATATAAATATATATACATATATACATATTTATATATTTATATGTATGTGTGTATTTTGCCAAATTATTGGCATTCCCTCGAAATTTTAGTGAAGATTTCTCAAAATATGGGAATTACTCACATTATTGCTGTTCTTCCTTATGTAAAAATTTTTATTAAATAGTAATGTGTATTATACATGTTAAATAGATAGTTCTTGATGTTACCCTAAAATATATGTTGTATATTTCTGATATGTTAGATGTTTCATGTTTTTCTATAATATAAATATATGTATAAAAAAATATACAGATATTACATTTTTTTATAATCATTGTTATTTCAATTAAGTTCAGCCTGTTTTTTCAAGTGCTTCGTTGTTCGTTAAACTTGAAAAGAAGAGTAAAATAATATTTTTATTTTTATCATCATATATACATAAAAATTCACACTGTTGTACCTTGCATTAATGTAATTTGAAATTTATTATATTTATGACCTAAAGGTTGGAAATACGATTTATAACTAATACGATTAACAATATTTGCATTTTGTTTTTGTTTTTTGTAATATCCTACCTAATTTTTTATAGAAGAATAATTTTACCATATTTATTTCATTCACCATTATAATTGATATCATTAGTCAGCTCTGTAATTACAAGTATTCTACTCAGTTTTCATAATTTTTAAACTTAGGTACCAATATACCTTAAATGATTAGATTTTTTTTAAAAATATGCATATACATTCATATATATATATATATGAATCTAATACATCAAGTCGGTATATGTGAAAATCTAATGAAGTAAAGATGTCTGTTTATGTTTTATGTAATTGTTATATTTTTATTAAAATTAAGCTATGTGATACCTACTTTTTTGCGCTAGTCAGTAGCCAAATAAGTTTAATGTTCGTGTGATCAGGATTTTTTTCCACAGCCTAAGTGATATCTTTTAGAAAACATGAAAAATAGTTATCTATTTTTGTATTATAGTAATAAATAATAAGGTTTCCAAAAATTTAGATAATTTTGCTTTCAAAGGGCCCAGTTATGATTTGTGCTTATCATACTTACACAGCTGACTAGTGACATTAAGCACAACAACTTTTTATTTTCTTTAATGTTGTATGTAGGAGAAATCACTAGTCACTATTTTTTACCAATGCAAGCACTTTTTTTTCTTCTTTAAAAATATATTTAGTTTTTTTTTTTCTGTAAATAATTGTATTTCTTAAGTGTTGCATTTTGATTCTCAAGCCTTAATCAGTGCCTATCTGAATACTTAAACAGTACCAGTTATCATGTAGTTTTTCCAGTCTAGTTAGTACCATATATTTTAAATTGTTGCATAGATATTAACTTAAATTCAGAACTCTTCCTCTTTTAAGCATCTTCCATAATACGGTGAATAGTTTAATTTCCTCTTTTAGTATTTTTTGTGTTCTGCAGTTCTATGTGTGATTTTTCATCAATTTCCAGCTACTAACAGTGTTGATATTTCATAAATTATTTAGGATAGATTTTTTTTTATTAGTCAATCTGGTGTTTGACAATTATTCTTGTTTATGGTGTCTTCCAAAATTAATAAAACTGCATTTCTTTAATGATGGCTTCTATGTTAAATTAAATTAAATTAAAATTAGTTATACACCCAAAGATGCTTTTAAATGGTTTTTGTAAATTTTTTTGCCCTCCCACCTGCTATTACAGATGATGTAAGATTAAAGCCACAAATAGATTTTTAGTTCTCATTTATCTAAAGATAATGATAAAATATCACCATTTATAATTCTTAAATCCAAAACCAATATTGCAGTTTAAGATTAGAAATGGCACCTAATTTAAAGTTTCTCTATTTAAACAACCATTATATATTATTTGTGGTTTAACAATAAACAATCTATAACTAAATTAATGAAATTTCATGCACAGTTCTATCAATTTTTATATTCTAAGAACTTTATTTATTTGAATATATTTGTTGTATAAATCTTCTTTATCGTGTATTTCATGTATCATAAATTTTCTGTTTTAAAACTATTAATCATATTATTATAATTGTGCCATTAGAAAATATTTGTGGAATAAAAATTGAAAATAATCATCAAATAATAATTTTTCATGAAATAAATTGATCATTTTTTTAGGTAAAGATATTTTTCATATAAAAAATTATATTTATTAAAAGAGATTCATTATTTTTGTGATTGATAAATATGAGCTTATTATCTAGAAATGTATTGTACTGAATTTATATATTTTAAAAGTTCTACAAATATTAAGAGTTCTTATAAAAATACCAGAAAGAATCTTATTATTTAAAGTTTATCTAATTGATATTTATCACTGTCCATTCATGTAATCTAAAGATGGTATTTTGGTTACCTTAATCTAGGAAGTTTTCTATCATTTTTAAATTTAGTCAGAACATTAATAAACCATTATGTTTGATATTTACTGTAATATAAATTTATAACTTGTGGTAATTGTTACAGTTAGAATGAAATGATAATTAATAAACAATTCTTCTGACTTGTAAATAAAAATCAATTAGGGTTAAATTGAACTAAATTATATGTTTTTACAAATATTTGATCAGTGGCCATATTAAAAAAAAAATCATAAATGTTTACTTAAACATTTAATTTATTTATTCTTGGATTATTACAAGGCCATTCATTATTATTGTTATTAATTAAAAATATATTTTCATAAAAAAATAAATAAATAATTTAGTTGAGACCATTATTACTGGATTTTAACAAATGTGCAGTTTTAAACTTTTCTGAAATACCAGTTACTTTATCATTGTATTTTTGATGTTGTTATTTTTTTATGATTTATACATTTTATTTGAAATCCATTTGTTTAATTTTCTTTTAAATTATTGTAATTATTGGAAATCACTTCATGTAGTTATAACTTAATGTGTCTTAACATTTAATGTCTCCTGTTAAAGAAAAAAAATTGTGTAAAAAATTGTTAGAAAAACGCCATGAAATGTGTCATAAAAAATTAGCCAAGTTTAGTATAAATGTTATGAATACATGTAAATTTTGTTTAGTTTTATAAGCAAATCAACCACTTTCCCCGTTCTCTTTAAATGTGTAAATATTCAAATGTTATTTAAATATAGGGATTAGTGGCTGTATTTTTATTTATAGTTGTTGTATAATACACATATTCTATTTAATAAATCCTAATGTTGGGATGGTGCTACTGTTTAAAAGCTAAATGTTTTCTATTAGATTTGTTGCAACCTTTAAAAATTTATTTATCTTCACAGTAATATGCAATTTGATGTACACTGTAACCCATTAAACACCCACAGTTATTTCTATACACATCGTGTATAATGATTAAATGTTAAGATTTAGAAAGTGAAAGATTTTAGAATCCTCTGACTGATGTGTTGTGTATAGATCATAAATAAATGTGAAGAGGAAGTTCATCTTTTTTTTTTAATTTATTTTTTTAGTTGTTTTTTTTTTAGCTAAGAGCTTATATTTAGTTAAGTTATTATTAAAAAAAAAACAGGGTGTGATGGCTCATGTTTGGTCCAAAATCACTTTGCCTTATTAAACTTCACATTTCAGTGAAGTTAAATAGTGTAATTTCCTATCACGGTTGTCTTTCAACCATTGCAAGCATGTAATTTGACAATGTTACACAAAGTATACTTCATTTACATGTTTGCTCAATATCACTTCGTTTTTAATTATAAACCAGTGTCACTGACAACAATATTTGTTATTTACTTGAAAATAAGAGATATATTTATAATGTATAAATTAATCAAATATTTAGTTTAGTTTTTTTATTTGTGCCACATAAATATCATGTACCTAATTCTTCTTATATCATATTTGCTTCTTCTTTCAGTTTTTTTCTTTTCTAATGAGAGGAATGTATATTGTTATTAACAGTTAACTTGTATACATAAATAGGTATATAAGTATAAATATTTTGGTCGTTTTCATTGTTTAAATATATATGTGATGATTTTTAAATCCAAAAATATATATATATATATATTTTTTTTATAATTGATAGTTCCAACCGGATTCACAATGTGATTAGTTATGCTGAATAAGAGTAATATGACATGAAAATGACTAGTGGAGAAACTACCCTTTGGTTGTAGTACTCCAACAAGGTATAGATTTAAAGTATAAAAATGTATTTATCAACTGTTTTTCATTATAAACTCATACAATTTTAAGTAAATATACATCACCAATCAATCAGCTGTTATATTATTAAGTTTTTGTTTATGTGTAAATAAAATACTATTTGCTATTGTATGGATCTATCTTGTTTTGTTGATTATAAATTGAGTTGTATTTATAGAAAATATGATTTTACATATCAAAAGATTATAATTTTCATTGAATTAAAAATTGTGTACTATTGTCAGAAACATGTTTTTAACAGAGTAGTGTTCATATTTTTCTTATTTATATATAATGCTATAACAAAATCATATATAAATAAATGTTAGGATATGAACTAGAATTGTACATACTGAACAAGGAAATGTAATATATTTTTACGAAAGTATATCCACGTTGTAATAGAGTTGGTGCAAAATATGTTTACCCTTCATTTTTATTTATTATTACTTTTGATTTTTTTTTTAGCTTAGTGCAATAAGAAAACCATATTATGAATAATATGTTGTGGAAGGGTAACATTTATCTAGTGTCTGGTTTTGTCTTAGGTTGTTTTGAAGTTATAATGATTGTACCAAAAGGGTAATATATTTATCAGTCAAGTATTGTTTATTATGAAGCAATTTTTAACCCATTCTCTAAATAAAATAATAATAATACCTTGTTATCAAAGTAATTTACATGGAAATAATCTGGTGAATAATGTGCTACTTATAGGTTTATATAAACATGTCATGGTTACCATATTAAAAGGGGCAATCAAGAAACAATGAAGAAAATAAAAAATTGAGATGAGCAGACAAAACAAAACTTACCAATTATTGAGATAAATGCAGCAAATTGAAAATCAATATCTTGAAATGACAAAAGTGTAACATGATGGCTAAGTTGGTCGAAAATCTGCAAGATTAATAAGTCCACAGACAAAAAAAATTAAAATGGATTTGTTTAGTTTTTTGATGGATAAATAGCATGCTAAGGTTTTGGACTCCTGACTTTTGGGTCTTGGTTCAGGCCTTGCTTTGGCCAAAATTTTATCTTCTGTTCCAATAGAAGTAATTTACATATTTGTAGTAAAACTGTTTGGTTTCGTTCAAGTTTACATGTGGCTGATAATTTATTTTTCCTGTTATATCAGTTGTTGATCAACTCTGGAATCAGAAAATCCTATTATGCCACAAATAGCCACTAAAAAATGATTACCTAAACCTCCAGTGGATAGTATGAAAACCTGATAATCGAGCTCCTGGCCTGGTCACCTCCTTGTGTATTACCATTGCTCTTGAAACAGTGTTGAAGAAGTACTGATTCCCAGAATTTTCATGGAATTTATAACAATTCTATGGACCTATGTTTTTAGTTAATTAAGCTGAAATTAAATTTTTGTTTCCATTTAGTTTTTATTAAATTAGAAATTATTAGTCATGACTTTTTTGCCACCCTTGCCAGGGACAGAAATGGATGGCACTGATGGCTTGAAGTATTCCTACGCTGAAAGGCAAATGGCTGGAAGAAAAATAAGCCTTATGAGATTAAATGAAGATAAGACCTGGCTGATATCTTAAGCTATTTAATTTTATACTGATATTACGAATTTAATTAAAATCGTTTTAAATAAATTGGTAGACATGTATAAAATCAATCAATGGCACAAGTATGATTTATGAAACCCAGCCAAGTTTTTAGACCTCTAAGGTTCATCCTGTTTCTAGACCAGGTGACTTCATGCAACAGCACTAACTATTTACTCCTGTAACTTTAAATAGTTGTAAATTTATTTATCATACAGAAAGGGAGACTTTATAATTTTTCCCATCTTATTTCTATAATTACTTAACCATGGCATAGTCTCAAGACGGGTAAAGTTTAAGTTTCATCCCAACTTACAAGTGCATCAATGTAAACTACATACAGTTTAGAGTAAAAAATTTATGATTCTGCCAATCAAGTAAGGTTGTAGTCTCTATGTAAGGCAACCATTTTTTTTTTTTTTTTTTTGTGGGTTAAATCAAGTCCCAAACTTTGTTTTAAATGGTTCAAAACTAATGGGTATGCAATTTGGGTCTTTAAACATAAAAACTTGAACAACTGGCACAACACAAGAATGGCAGAAAGGTGCTTTCTTTGTGTCAGTTTAAAAAGTCAAATTTTGATTCAACCCTACCTTGATTAACAGAGTTGTCAATTTTGTCTCAAAACTATATGCATTCCACATTAATATATTAGGGGCCCTCCAGACTTGCTGGAGGTTGTGAAGTAGGATTGAACGCCCTCCTCTCATATCTATAATTCTCAAAATACCAGCCATGGATCCTCATAAAGTAAAACTCTCATAATCTGGAAGCAAACTAGTCTCCCGTTCGTATCTCCGGGTGGGGACTGCTTTAGGGGATTCATGGTAAAAGTTGAAAACTAGATATTTAAGTATAGCGACATGGAACATAAGGAGTTTGAATACAGCAGGTGGGTTAAAATTGGTCGAAAATGAGGTTAATGGGTACAATTTAGATATCGTAGCATTGCAACAGGTTCGTTGGCGAGGGGAGGGATCCATAAGGGAAGGTAAATACACTTTTTGGTTCGGAGGAAGCGGAAAGCATTGTTTAGGTACCGGTTTTCTTATTAGTAATATATTTCTACCCGCTTTGAGTGACATACAATTCTTTATCGATAGGATTTCAGTGGCCATATTCAAGAGGCGTTGATAAAATCGCGTTGATAAACATACACTGTCCGACCGAATACAGTGATTACGAAGCCAAATGGGTTTATGATAAACTACCGCCACTAGCGGATCCAGGATTTAATTTTTTTGGAGGGGGGGGGAGTGTTTCAGCCCGAAATTTTTTTTTTCATAAAAATAACGATTATTACTTTGGAAAAAAAGAAAGAAACTAACAACTACCTATATGAAATGGCATTTAAGTGATTCCTAAAGTCCTTTTAAATGTAATTACGCGAACAATAATACTTTAAAAGTTATAGTAATGGTAAACTAATAAATTTTGCCATCTCGAAAAACCTTATAATTTAAAGTACTACGTACTTGGACATCACCGGATTCGCAAATACGAAATCAAATCGATTACGTCTTGATACAACATAGGTAGCAAAATATTATAGTTAATGTAAGGTCTTATCGCGGGGCAGAATATAGAGCAGATTATGAATTGGTAATCGCGAATCTTCGACAAAAATTTAATATATAAAAACAGTAAAGAAAACTGTTTCGATTCAAAGGACAATTGGAGTATTCACTCACTATTCAAGATGGGTTTCAAATTATTCAGACAAAGTTCGAACTTTGCTAAATTCTAGAATTTTCCCTTTAACCCTTGAGGTTGTTTCACAGTTCGAGCTTCTAAAAAATGAGATATCAACATTAATGATGGGTGCCATCGACGATAAAGAACCATTTTTTGTCGAAACGGATGCCTCCGACTTCTCAATCTCAGCAGTGCTCTCCTAATCCGGTCGCCCCGTGGCATTCTTCTCTCAAAAACTCAACGAAAGCGAACGGCGGCATTCAGCTGTTGAGAAAGAGACCTATTCTATCGTTTGTTCATTAAAAAAATGGAGACACTTCCTATTAGGACGATATTTGACGATTATCACTGACCAGCGCTCTGTGTCTTTTATGAAAGATTCAAAACAACAGAGTTAAATTAAAAACAAGAAGATACATACAGAGATGGCGTCTTGAGTTATCATGCTACGATTATGATACAATATACTTATTTATCTAATAGATATTCATAAACATTCCGGTTAAAAATCTTCACATATATTTAATATAGCATCCAGAAAATTCCATAGAGTCAACAATACTGTTTTATCTTCATTGATATAAACAAAAATTGTAATAAAGTGCCCGCAGCTGAATGAGAGTAGTGGGGGCAGCTTATCAAGCTTCACTTTAATCCCGGCAGCCGCCACCCGAACAAACAGGTGTGTTATCATTTCACTCTCCTTTAAATTGCGACATTTTAAAGATATAGTAATTTCTTTAAAATGGTTAATTGTAAAATATGCAGTAAATCGGTGGCCCGAAAAGAGAAGAACAAATTAGACTGTACAGTATGTACAAATATATTTCATGCTAAATGCATCAAAATTGATAGTCACTCGGAAGGCCTAAAGAAATTAACAAAAAATGGATATGCCCCGTTTGCGCATCTGAGCCTAGAATGATTGACCTATTGAAGGCCCTGACTAACCTGCCTAAGGAGGTTAGGGAGATGACCAAGCTTCAGGGCATCGACGAGCTAAAGGAAATAAAAGACACCCTCAACAAACAGTCGGAACTGTCTTTTGAAAATATGGAAAGACTGTTAAAAATAGAAACCCTACTGGAAGAGCAGAAAAACCACGTTGAAAATATCGGAGCTGGAATGTCGGTTAAATTATACTGAGCAATATCAGTTTAAAGATACAATTGAAATTCGAGGAATTCCAGAAAAGCCGGGTGAGACTGGGACCATCCTTAGCGTGGGAGCGGGTCTAGGCAGCAAGTTGAGTCCAGCCGATCTGGATCACGTAGTGAGGCTCAAACCAAGGCCGGAAGGGACTCCAGGCGCTATCATTGCTCGCTTCGTTAGGCAAACAGATGAAATGCTACAGCAGAGAAGAACGTAAAGAGACTTCTCTACACGCCATCTAGGCTGGGGGGACAACGAATATAAAATAAATATAAAAACGTGATGCGGCATTGCGCAGTTTGAAATCCGACAGTATTTTTTATAAAAAGCGCCCCTGTCAACATAATAATGGACACTAAATCGATTAAATACTAAAAGTTACAAAAACGTGATACTCAAAAGAATAGAATAAATTTTTATGGAGAGATGAGTCAAAATATGAAATGTATGGTTCCTGAAGGAGGCAGTATGTTAGAGAAGATCTGGAGTAGAATTTTCGGATGAATGTTTGCATCCAACGGTAAAACACGGATGTAACTTCTTCATTAAGAATTCACTAATTGAACTAAAGTAATTTTTTTTTTTTAAATTTAACTATTAAATAAAAACAATGAAAACGTGTATTGTGCCAATTGAAAATATTCTCGGAAACTCCAAAAACAAAGGAAACGGTATCAATGAAACATTTTATCTAGTTTTTGGAGACCTAAAAAAATAAAATAGATTCAGATAGATTCAAATAGATGTCACTGGTTTTCCCTTGCTCGTCCTACTGTGGGCCGCACAGTGGTTGAAAATCGCCTTTTTTCGAGAAAAAAAAAACTGGCGATACTGATCTATAAGTCTTTAAAAAAAAATCAGTTTTGACACCATCATAATTACAACTACATTTTCTATAAAATATCTAGGGTAGAACCCCGTTTAACCCGCTCTTTCGAGTTAACCGGGGATAAAAGAGATGAATAATTTTTTTTTTTCTCTCAGAATAAGATAGCTTCAGTTTAACTAAATTATTGAAACAAATGAGATAGTTGTTTTTGTTACAACCAATCTTGACCTGTGAACTTATGTTAAGAAAATTAATAGGATAGCAAACTAATAAATGGAAAACTAACAGGGTAACAAGATGTTAAAATCTTCCTATCGTGTGAAAGAAGAGGGATTATGTATTTTAAGTTTTTCAGTCGCCTAGACAGCACTTTTATTGTAATAAATGGAAACACTTAGGATCGACTAAGGAAAAAAAAAG